CGGGGGCGGGGGACGGCGAGCCCCTCTTCGGCATCGGCATCGAGAACTTCCTCACCCTCATCGTCTTCGGCGTGATCTTCGCCCTGGGGGTGCTGGGCAACTCGCTGGTGATCACGGTGCTGGCCAGGAGCAAGCCGGGCAAGCCCCGCAGCACCACCAACATCTTCATCCTCAACCTGAGCATCGCCGACCTGGCCTACCTGCTCTTCTGCATCCCCTTCCAGTCCACGGTCTACGTGCTGCCCACCTGGGTGCTGGGCGCCTTCATCTGCAAGTTCACGCCCTGGGGGTGCTGGGCAACTCGCTGGTGATCACGGTGCTGGCCAGGAGCAAGCCGGGCAAGCCCCGCAGCACCACCAACATCTTCATCCTCAACCTGAGCATCGCCGACCTGGCCTACCTGCTCTTCTGCATCCCCTTCCAGTCCACGGTCTACGTGCTGCCCACCTGGGTGCTGGGCGCCTTCATCTGCAAGTTCATCCACTACTTCTTCACCGTCTCCATGCTGGTCAGCATCTTCACCCTCTCCGCCATGTCGGTGGACCGCTACGTGGCCATCGTGCACTCCCGCCGCGCCTCCAGGCTGCGGGTCTCCCGCAACGCGCTGCTGGGCGTGGGGCTCATCTGGGCGCTCTCCATCGCCATGGCCTCGCCCGTGGCTCACCACCAGCGCCTCTTCCACCGGGACGCCAGCAATCAGACCTTCTGCTGGGAGCAGTGGCCCAACCCCCGGCACAAGAAGGTCTACGTGGTCTGCACCTTCGTCTTCGGCTACCTGCTGCCGCTGCTGCTCATCTCCTTCTGCTACGCCAAGGTGGGTGCGAGCGGCAGGCGGGGTGTGTGTGTGTGTGTGTGTGTCTGTGTAGGGTGCTCACCGACAAGGGACATCGCCATAGTAGGGTGGGATACAGGGGCGTCCGTACAGGAGGGATGAGTGTTTGGGAGACAGCTGCAAAGGTGGGGTGTAGCCACAGGGGCGTGTGAGAATTTGAGGTACAGTTATATGGCTGGGGTGTAGGTAAAGGGTGTGCGTGTGTTTATGTGTAGGGTGCAGTTATATGGGTGGGCTGTAGGTAGATGGTGTGTGTGTGTGTGTGTGTGTGTAGGGTGCAGTTATATGGGTGCGGTGTGTGTGTAGGGTACAATTACATGGGTGGGCTGTAGGTAGAGGGTGTGGGAGGGGTACAGTTACAGGGTTTAGCTATAGGGAGTGTGTGTATGGAGCAGTTACAGGGATGAGGTGTAGGTATAGAGTTTGTGTGTCTAGAGGTAAAGGTATAATGATGGGTGTATAGAGGAGGGAGTATAACTATAGGATAGGGGAATAGGGATTAGCATCCTCAAAACTGTGGGAAGGTGGATGGGTTACATAGTTTGTGGGTAGCTGCAGTAGTAGGGGGCTAGGGTATGGGGGTTCGTTTGTGGTGCGTGCATGGGAAAGGGGTACAGCAGTAAAGGACATGGTAGGTGTTGAAGTTTTGGTCTATGTTTGAGAAGGGAGGGTAGAATCATAGCCAGTTAAGATACGGGTGTGTAGCTGGAGCTATACGTGTGGACTGTCCAGATGCTGAGAGGAACATCACACCTGTGATTCCAAAGGTGCAGAAAATGGGGAGGAGGAGGTATAGCGTAGGCGGGTTGGGCATTTTCTCTTTTAAAAATCTCTATTTCAGCTGTGCTGAACACTTTATGTGTTTTCCTGAAGTGCTGGGTGATGAACTCCAAAATGAGCAAAGTGCATGGGCAAAGTGCAATAGTGTGCAAAGTTGTTAACATATACACACAACAAACGGCAATCATTTAAAACATGCTGCACTTAAACAAAACCAAGCCAGATTATTACTGGTGTCTGACCTGTATGATGCCCATTCTACTACAGACTTCTGGACTTTTTAACGTCCAGTTAAAAGACACTAAGAGCAACAGGCAGAGCTACATGTTGGTTAAGAGTCTCATCCTGCATCAGTTGAAGTTAATGGGAGCTTTGCTACTGACTTCTGGAGGCTCAGGATTACAGCTGCCAAAAATAATCATTGAGGATGAGCAAATTTCTGACGAAAGGGACAGAACCGTGACACACTCACTTTCTCCGCTTCATCGCTCAGGCAATGATCCATTTTCTATATCAGTATTTTCTGCAGCTTTGAAGGAAGCACCAATTTAGCTGTTTTTCAGAATACAGGACACTGTAAACAACCAGGCTGAATACAGTCCTACTGGAGAGTTCTTTCCCTGAGATCTTGCAAATCTTTAATCACTTTACTAGCTCTTACTCATTAGTAAATTGCATTGAAGTTAATAGTTCTTTTCATGGGAGTAAAGTCTGCTTGCTTGCTGAGGCATCAGTTCCTTAATTAATAAAGCAAAACATTTCTGAGGAGAATGAAGTGTGTAATTTATACAGTTTGTGTATAAATTCATTAATTGTGATGTGGAAAAATGTATGGATGCATTTTAACACATTTTAAAATATGTTTGCATTCAAAGGACAAAGTTTCTAAATTAGTTTCTAAATTACAGGGCAAAACAACATTTACAATGACTGAGGTGTCAAACTGGCAAAAACAAGGCAAAACAACATTTACAATGACTGAGGTGTCAAACTGGCAAAAAGGCAAAAAAGTAAAATTAAAAAAATCACCCTTAAAGGTTCAGTTCTCTTTTCCCTGTGTGGATTTCTCATTGTCTGTAATAAGAGTTACTGTGCAATGAGGAGGCAGAAACCAATACTGTAGGTTTGATCATTACCATATTTAAATAAAGATATTAACAGATACTATGGGGAGATTGTTATCGCACATGCTGAGAAGATGACTTTGTATTAACAGATACTATGGGGAGATTATCGCACATGCTGAGAAGATGACTTTTAAACATTCATTTTAAATTAATAATTATTAGTAATTTTACAGCCAAAGGAGCCTCATTCACAACATTGACTAAAACCTCTAAAACCTTTTTTTCATGCTAAAAAAGTTTTGTAAGTTAAACAAGTATGGTGAATATTTTAAAAATAATAAACTTGTACTTGTATAATTTAAAAACAAAATTAAACGGAATTATTTTGTGAACAGACTATTGAAATATTAAAGTTAGTAAAATACATCAGTTTGATTATAAAATAGCTATTTAATACAAATATTAATATAAATAATTTGACTAAAAATCTTCAAATCTGAGTCCCTGAATGCCAAATATGCCCAGAACAAATACTTTATGATCAAGTTAAAATATCCTGAAATAGGGGTTAATTCCACTAATTAAATGTATGTTTAATTAACATTAAAATGTTGTCTTAGCCAACAAATCAAGGCAATTCAAAGTTACAGCTGAAAGTTCATTTTCAACTTGCTACTAGGCTGTCCTTACTTCAGCCTTGTTTTGGTTAGGAATTGAAGGGGTCTGAGAAGACTGGCTTAATCTTCCCACTGAAGTCAGGATCCAGCTTTGAGGGGCCAGTTCTGTGAGATGCTTACTACCCTCAATACTCATCAGTGGCAGTGGGAACTGAGAAAACTCAGACCTTTGTAAGAGGTACTTGGTGTCTTTGTAATCTGCAATATAGGGATCACTCCTGCTGTTAATAAAGTAATCAACAAAACTTCACCTGCAGTATTTTGGCACATCAGGGTGAGCAGAGGGTGGGGTAAGTTAAGACTGTAGTGTCAATAAGTTAACAAGCTTCAGTCTTAAATTTGTCAAGGCCATAGCTGTGATAGTATTTGTCCAGCAAGGGAGTCCTCATGGAGCTCCACTGAGCAGATTACCATGGAATTCTATTGAAAGAAACACAGCCATGACATCTTGGCTTCCCAGTGCACAAAGTTAGGGTTACCATATTTGAACTTTCAAAAAAGAGGACACTCCTGAGAGGGAGTGTATCTGTATCATTATCTACCAACTCATATTGTATTAATGTTATATATAACACATTAATACAACGTGAGTTGGTAGATACAGACAACCCCCGACTTGCAACACGATTGGTTCCCGGGAAAGTGTTGCAAGTCGGGAGTGTCGTAAATCGAGCCCTCATTGATGATAGGCGCCATGTGCCGTCATAAATTCAGGCCGAGGACGTAAGTCAGGGGTTTTTGGCCCCTTCTGCCCTTTAAAAAATAGTTGTAATGCACAGGGTCACAACTCAGGTGGTCGCAACTCGAGGGTTTCCCGTACTGATACAGATACACTCCCTCTCAGGAGTGTCCTCTTTTTTGAAAGTTCAAATGTGGTAACCCTACACAAAATGTTCAAGGAAAGTTGCTGTGTAATATAATAGGTAAATCAATGGCAATATTTAGTTATGAAGTGGAGCATGTTAGTGGGTCAGACCCTTAGATGGTGTAAATTGATATACCTTCATTGATTTCTATGGAACTACGTTGAATTATGACAACTGAGGATCTGACAAATAATAAGGAAGCTTCAGTCTTCTCATAATCTAGTTTAAGACAAAGGGAATGCAGTTCTTTATTTGAATATATGGCATTTTCAGGACCGTTGTAAGGCAAGTTCTTATTTTTTAATGTAAATTGTAATTTCCTTCATTTTTAATGCATTTAAATGGCAAGTTAGTTGCATTCCCTCTGTCTTAAATTACATTATCAGAGTATTCACATCCTACTGGGAAGTAATAGCAAAAGGAACAGCTTTTGCTGAGAGAGTACAGTACCATTTACAGATTACAGAAATACTGAAACAGTGATGGGTATTTAAAAAATCTGTTCACTTGCAAACTCAGAGAAAACCAGAGATGGCATTCATATGTAATGAGATAAGCAGTGATTAACTATTTAATAGTTCAGTAGTAAGTATTAAGGACATATTATTTGATGGATAGCTTGAAAAGGCTCTTTGTAATTTGTCATGAGATAACATATTTCTTTTATTATTTACATATCAGCTTATTGTATGTACTATTATGATGCTAGTATAAGATTGCATATTAAAAATGCCACTTAAGGCCCAATGGCTCAAGCCTGCAAAGTGCCAATGCTCATTTTGGAAGGCCCTGAGCATCCTCGGTTCCCATTGAACAAACAAGTCAAAAGTGACTGGTGATTTTGGGTGACTCAGTTTTTGAGTGCCCAAGTTGAAAGAGCATCTGAAAACCAGTTCCTTTTCATGTTGCACACCCAAATATCATGGCACCCAGAAAATGAGGTAATTAAAATTATTAGTTTTGAAAATCTTGGTAATTGATTTTGATGGTAGTACTCATATGGCAGAATATGACCCCAGATTGATGATACCTTTATCTATTTCAAATATTAATAATTGACCTATTATTTTACTTTTGCCTCTAGAAATACTATGAAAAACTTGTCTCCATTATGTAAAAATATCCTGAACAAACTGAATTACAGAAAGCTATTTTGATTTATAGACTCAGTTAAAAATATAAATCACAAAGAGTAGGAATCCTAACATAAAAAAGAAGCTTAAAAATGTTCCTGGACTGTGATCTTATATCCCAAGTTTTAGCAGGAGGATGTTAATGGAAGAGTTATAACCCAGACCTGCCAATGAAAATAAAAAGAAATAAAACCTATAATTGGGTGACCATATTTCTGTATGCTGAATATGGGAGACCTGGTAATATTATTCATATTCAAGTGAGTTTAATGGCAATTAATCAGAATTATGGAAATGTTCAAACTAACATCAAGTTGACTGAGCCCATCTTAAAAAAAGTACTGCGTAGATGGAGACTTTTTATTTACCTTCTTATCTTTAAGGTTTGCATGGAGAGAAGTGACACACATACACACTCCTGTACACTTCTGTCACACAGGGATTGTGGTGACTGACCAA